AAACTATTGGATAATTAACATTTAAAACTTAAACTATTGGATAATGGTCTAACATTAATATTTAAATACAATAACTAATTTTTTAAATTCATATATAATTATATCAGTATTATCTCTTAAAAGTGTATTTATTAAATTGGCCACTCTTATTTATCAAACTAGACACTTTAACCCCAAATACAATTTGTCTACTTCCCCATTTATCAATCCAAATCAATTGATGTAAAACATTGCAGCAATCTCAAATGAAAAAACTAGCCACTCATCTAAAACTTCAAGATGTTTGCATCTAGGGACATAGCTAGGATTCTTAGTGAGTGGGTTCAAAACATCAAAGTTGATAAATTTATAATAAAATATACTTAAATAATAAATATAAAAAATGTACTCTTACAAGCTTTAAATACCAAATTATCAATTTTACAATTGTCTGCAACGATTTTCATAGTCTGAAAACATTGCATAATTGCTTCGTTGACAATTCTTAGGGTTTCACCAATTCCAAATATCAAGTAACTAACCATTCAAGCAAGATATCAAACAATTAACCAATATATCAAAATTAAACCAAATCTCTAAATCTCTACAATTTAGGTTTCATTAATTTTGTAAACCACTCAAAATTAACTAAAATTTATCAAACCCAACTTAAAACAACAACTAATTAACCCATACCTCAACATAAACAACATTAAATCAAAACCCACATCAAAATCTAGGAATTTAATCTTCCAATTTTAAACTCAATAAAAACTCATAACTCATGATCTTTCATTAATTAAGAAAGTTAAAAGAAAGAAAATTTAAGTAAAAAAAATACTAATTAATAATTCATTTTTGTGAGGTCAACATTAAGTTAAGTGAGATCAAAATTGTAGCATCCATCAAACATTGGGACTTTTTTGAATTTTTTAGAAAGTTGAGTATGTGGCTACGTGCTGATTGCATATGATAAATTTCATTTATATATATATATATATATGCTTGGTTATTTTCAAATATAATGGTTTACAAAACAAAACTTGGTTGAATGTATTTGTTTAGAAAAGGCTGAATTTATTTGTTTGGAATGAGAATAATATGGTACGGCTGTATCTAATTCAAAGATTCCGCTAGTCCAAACAAAAACAATGATATCTAGTCAAAGAATCAAATCTAAAGTCTGTTCTTTCACATGTGAACGGGAGAAGGTTTTCATATCATTCGTGATTTTGGCTCCGGTGATGAATAGGTCAAGAAATAGTACCACTACTCGAAAAATAAAATAAATAAATACTTGCATTTTCATTGTTATTCTTTGTTACGGACGTTAGTATTTAATATAATATATATGTGTTTGTAATGTATTTCATTTTCTGGACTTCCCACCAGGTAGAATTTTTCAGAATAATAATACAGCTAAAATGCATAATATTTTATTGGAAAATTGACTTATTAATCATTACTATAAAAAGATTAATGACAAATCCATGGAAATACCAACAATTTTATAAGCACAAAAAGGGGTACTAGACCTCCGTTGACCGACAGTACCAAAAGGTTATAGAGTTTATGTATGCGAGAAACTATGATAGCTTACCTACGTGAAGATAACCGATCAACATAACGATCAGTCGAATTTATGGTCAAAACTCTCTACTTATTCCACACACACATTCACCAAGACTAATCCACCAATCACGGAGATTTTCACCACATCTAGCTGAGAACCGTGTAAGGACAGTGGAAACTTGAGCATTAGGTTTAAACATCTGAAACCAGGCCAGGCTAGCGTCTACAAAGCTGAAAATAAGTAGCTAGAACAAGTCTTCATTTAACAGTATCAAATTTGCTTTATTAAACATTGACCATTTCCCAGCTAAAACATAAGAAAATGAAAACACAAAATACACAAGCCAAAAACAAAAAATTAAATTAAATTAAATGGAATTTTATGCCTTTATATCAAAATGATGTATAGCCAATTGCACTCAGGAAGAATATTTAGGCTGGCAATTCTAGTACATGTAAAATCGTGCTTTGATCTGTCACATTTTGATTGCAAAATTAGAATCTCATTTGAACCAAGGAGGAATGAGGTATTCAAAATTGAAAAGAGACAAAAACTTGGAACCCCATATGAATACCTCAAAAGAATGACAAGATTCTCATAAAATTTATAAAACTAAACCATGTTCACTCCCAAGGAGACTTGACCTAGTATTATATATAATTAAAACCCTCTTGTGGGAGTGTGAGAAGCTGTATTTAAGGAAGCAAAGAGTGAAGTTGTGGTCCATAATATGTTCTCTCCTAAGTTGGGAGAGAAAGCAAACTGAGTTGGGGAGCTCCTTTCAGGCCAATAACGAGGGCTGAGAAGCGGCTAGAGCTGCCATCTCATGCACTGGGCTACGCTTAATATTTTTTCAACAGACGGGCAACAATAATAAGTGTTGAGTTTAGCCAGGTGCATGGTGTGGGAGCAACTCCTTCCACTTACTTCGTCCGCATATTAGACTGAAGGGAGCTCCTGGATATAGCATTTGCATCAACCACATCCTTCTTTAAACAAAACTTAGTTACTTTTATTTAGCTCTGCTTGTTCCTCTAATTTGTGCATCTCTCTTCATCATGTTCATGCTGTTCTAGTTTCAGTTTCAGAAACTTTCCAGTTTGCTTGATTTTTTGTTATTATGGTTGCACCATATGCTAATTTTATTTATTTTAATTTACTTCTTTATATTTCAGGTGTTGGGTCCGGAGTTAGCTGAGTGGAGTTCACAGAGCAACTTCTTTGTCTCTCCTCTTCTCTTCACTTCTGTTTCTATTTTTTTTTTTTTTTTTTTTTTTTTGGAATGTTATTTTTTATAGGCATACAGCTATCCAGTTGGAAGTGCCGTACTGTTGTAGTTGCCTTTTTAAAATAAAAATAAAAAAAATTCGATGGAGCATCTTTGTTGTAGTAGTCCATTTTATCGATCGATAATACTAAAGATAAATAATTAATAGAAGAAGAAGAAGAAGACGTATGAAACTTTTCTTGTTGCCAAGGAAATCAGCTTCGAAAGTTAAATCTCTTTCTTTAGGTTCTTCCATTACAGTCTCCATTTTTAAGAAACATAAGGATTATGTTTTTGTTTAATTGTGCTTTCTGGAGTGAAAGCACTATCTTTGAAGTTACGAAGATTGCTTTATGTTATGGCCAAGAACCAAAACAATATCTTTGTTTGTAGTAATCCATTTTATCGATTCATGATACTAAGATAAGCTTTTGCATAATGGACCAAACTACTAAAAACCATACCGATAAAAGATGCTTAAGGAACTGATCCATGGAAGAAATTTTCAATTTTTTTCTTTCATCACTGCAAATGAAAACATCTGTAAGCAATATGCAAATTCCAGAATTGGACAAATAAAATGGATCACACGAGGTTTCCAAAACCTAACATCAGTGGTTTTGGACTCCAAACACTCCCCTTGTCCGAACAAGGCAGACACATCTAGATTTTTCCTACTTATAGAAATAAAATTTTCAAGAGACCAAAAAACCAAATGATCCACAACAATCTTGACAAATTACTGCAGCTTTTCCATCTTGATGCTGCTGAACTCTTCTCATCCAAGAAGGCTGACATATGATAATAACTAATCACAAGTTACATTATCATTAAATATAAAGTTCAGAAGTATACCGCCCATCCAATATGGTGTTAGGATGTCAATATGTCCTTTTCCTTCGTCAAATCAACAACCGCGTAACCAATCAGGCCGCAAATTTAGAATCAACTGATGGATTACTGAAGCAAGTATTGACAAGAAACTTATTAACATTATCTGATGTACTTTTCATTTCTTCACTGAGTCCAAAATGCAACCAATAGTTAGATGCTAAATAACACTAACAGTTGAGACACAAGCAGAAGCCAGTAGCATCTAGCCACCATACATATCATGAAAGGAAAGGAAAGGAAAGAAAAGGAAGAGAAAATGTTTTAATTAGGACAAACGATAAGAACAACTGGTATGTAAACTGGCCCAGTCTGCCCTCCACTTTAGGCATTCCTCTATTGGCCAAGTGCAATCACCTGCAAGAAGAATGCAAAACTTACATTTCCTCCCTCTATTACCTTTCAAAAACTAATAACTCAAATGCAGTATTATTATGTATTAAGGCCAAAAATCATAATAGAATATGCAAAAGGATTGATTGCAACAATTATTAAATGATATCCCAGCAATCAGAGGTAATACTATTTCAGGTATTACACAATACAATAATCACGAAATCGACATCACGATTTAATATTATCCATGGAATAGACAATGAATATTTTATACAGGAAAATCTTGGACAGGAAGCATGTCTACCGGAATCAATTTTATTCCATTAGATCTTTTAGATGACAAAAGATACCTAAAAGTTTTAAATACTGACCAACATGTCATTTCCAACTAACAAAATATGCACAATGATAAACATATATATCCTATGATCTCATCATTTGATTAATTAATTTGATTGAGGCCATGCTGTTCAATGGTGATATATCCATGCCAATCAGAAGATCTCATCCTTTGATTAATTAATGTGATAGAGACCATGCTATATATCCTTTTCAATGATGTTTTATAAATGCACCTCAATCGATCTCATCATTTGATTAATTAATTTAATTGACACCGACCCATACATGCTCCTAAATGGTGATTTATCCATGCCAATCAATCAAGATTGCTCTTAACACATAATTCCTCTGCATTTTGACTCAAAAAGAAAGTACATTCATTCACACCAAATTGAACCCGCCAAAAACCTAGATGACCATCAAATCCCTAGTTCATAATCAACTATCAAAGCTTCTTTTTTTATTGATGAATAAATAGACTTATACAAAGACCTAAAATATTGGTGAAATATCAAGATGAATTATAAAAATCAAAATGACATTTTCTTGAGTTCATTTGAGCCTATAGATAGGACTTTGCTAAATCAATAATATTGCTGCAAAGTCAGATGTAACTTTCTGGCTTGCCAAGGGAGGGTGCCCAAACCCTTATAACCCACATGCCCACCCTTTTCCCTTCTAATGTGGAATCCTAACATTCCACCAAGCTTCCATAACCAACATCCACGTCGGCCTCTTTACCCCCGTCGGCCTCTTTACCCCTTGGGTGACTACGCGGATCCCCTTTCCTTCGAACTGCCATGCCTTTTCTCGGGGTAGCAGCCCGGGCCCAAGGTCAACCTGCCATGGGTCAGCCTGTCACATAGGCAACATTTACGTGGGTGTAGGATCATGCTCTGATACCAATTGATAGGAACCCACTCCAATAACTCAACAATTGGGCTGGGCCATGAGTCTTTCATGGCCTTGGGCCAAGGGAAGGTGCCCAAGCCCTTATAACAAGCTCCATTTCTTTATACACCGTTTCCACTCTAACAGTTTCTCTAGGATTTGCTTCTGTTATGAAGTGAATTTGCCATATTTTCGACAATCTTATCATATAGCAAATTTAATCAACTCTGAGCAAACCTCCGCACAGGAAGAAAAAATAACAGCTTAAACAGGTTGTTTTCCCCTTTTTTGTCACACAATGATAGTTAATATAAGCCAATCAGCCATTCTTCATTCAGAATTATGTGATGAATCAATAACAATCACAATGCAACAAAATGATACCATTATCGGCAATAATTTTTTTTAAAAAAGAAAAGAGTTATCATATCATTTCAATTTTCTTTTTGGTTCTTTGGGAGGTCAATTCATTTTTCCTGCTAAAAAGCATATGCATGGAGTAAAGAATTATTGAAATTCATAAAAGAAAACCAATATCAATGCTAGTCAATATTCCTATCATTGCTAAAAGCTGACAAGAAACAGCAAAATGAAAAAGGACTCTAATTTAGTAATATTCCACTCAATTCACCCTCCATCTCATAAGTCCCTAGCAAATTATAGCACGAATAAACTTCTATTTCAACACCATAATTATGGAATGCGAATTATCAGGATACCAAAAGATTTTAAGTTAAAGGATGTTGTTAGTTCTCCATTAGACCTTGGGTTTAATAGTCCACTGGTAGTATTTCAAGGGCCCAGGACTCCTTTCATGACACAATAACCCTTGCACGAATCTCTTTCCAAAATCAGTTAAACCTCAAAAATAACGTACAAACTGATCTGAAGTTTTTTTAGGGGTTCAACAATCTCATCACCATATCAGTTGAGTTTAATTGCTGCTCAGAAATTTAGAACCATTGATTTTCAGGCAACATTAATAGAATACAACTTACGGCTGCCACAGCATTCTCAGTTGTACAGACACATAATAAACCAACTTGAATTTCAAAATATTAAGCAGCAATCATCACTCGATTAGCATATCGGTCAAAATGGTGGAGTTAAACTTCAACTACAATTATATCCAACTGATCTTATAGCGAAAAATAAAACATAGGTGCTCTCATGCCAGAATTGCATGTAACCAAAAAGTTTTCAAATAAGAAGTTTGAAAGTAACGAAAACTGGTCTCAATACCTAACAACAAACTTAACTACTTACACAAGGTTAATAATTAAGTTTCCACTTAGTCTAATGTAACAATCCAATAAAACCAAATTTCCACACTTTTTAAACATGCTAACTTCGACTTAATATGACAAAGATGGCTTAACTATCTTAGTTGCAATCCATCCTTGAATAGCAATCTTTTGGCCATCTCCACTGGAACAATACTTATAAACTACCAGTACTCCCTTCCACAGAAGCAACCTCAGCACACTTAAACAAAAAGTAACTGTACAGAAGACCTACTATAAGACGTAAACCACATTTGGAAACAGTATAAACATATGCTAGCCACAAAATCATTGCCTAGAAGTCATTTATTGAGAATTAAAAAGACACCGTTATACCTAAAAACCAACTAAAATAAAACTCCAAATCCCTAAGTATAATAGTCAGAAGCTAGTAGTGATTTATTCTTCAAAATCGCATTCAATAAAGGCATTACACATAAAATTTATATCTTCCTGTAGAGCTTTATGAAATGCTACAAGCTATAATGCTACATTACCGTTGCCGGGACAACATTTTTATTACAGCTTAAAATATTAATATTTTACCACCAAAATAACCTACCAGTAGCGTTACAGTCAAAAACTTGAAGTAAACAGAAAGAACACGCACCTTATTAATTAATCCAAGGTAAAAATTTAAAAAACATCTCATTCTTCAGACTCGGCCGACTCCACCTTTGGACCTAACCGAAACACGGACAAATAAAATAAATTTGTATGCGCTCAAACAAACTATCAGTCAAGAAGTAAAAGAATGGAGAAATTGGAAGTAACCGTGGAGAGAAGGATGGCGGCCGTCCTTGCCCCAGCCGATGCCGCGAGTGGAGTCGAGGTACTGTTGGACGAGGTGGCGACATTTTTGGAGATGGTTTACTCCTTCGATGCGATAACACCATCTCAGCTTGTCTCTCAAGATCTTCGCCTTCTCGATTTGGATCCACTTCTCTCTCACCACGTGCTCCCTCATCTCCAGCATCGCCACCGGGTCCTTGTACGGATTCGATGGATCGAAGTCATCCGGCGCTGTTTCATCGAACTCAACTGTTCCCTTCTTCCGCCCCATTCCGATGGTCTTGGCCTTTACTCTTTTCAGTCTCCTTGTTTGTTGTGTGGTGTGCTTTTGTTTTGGGTTTTGTTTGATATTATCTGGGCCGGGTCATTTTTGTGGACTTTTTGGGCTTTAGCTAAGATGTGTCTTGGGCCGAACAAAAGTATCAAATAGTTTTTAAAATACCAAGGCTTCGTTTGGTTGGTTTTTGGGAATACTACTTTTAGTATTCCCAAAAAGGTTAAATAGTAAACTACCAAAAAACTCATAATATTATTCAATTTTTTTTAAACCTCCTAAATTTATTAATTTAATTAAATACCCCTAAAATTCTTTTAAAAAATTATAAAAACACCCCAACAATCCATATTTACCAGATTCCGACCACCACTACCTGAAAATGGCTAGAATCTGGTAAGATGGAGTACTATCGACTGAATTTGGTTGGTAGTGCGTCGGAAAAGGCCAGATCTTTGGCCGTAACCAGTCAGTAACGATGGCCAACAAACGGTCGTCGTTGACCATCAACGACGACTGTTTATTGGCCGTTGTTGACGAGCAAATATAGCCAGATCTGGCCGTCAATTGCCAGATCTAGCCGTAGATCTGGCCAGAAAAGGTCATATCGACACACAAAATTGTGAACCAAACGGAGCTTAAATTATTACAATTAAACTTTTAAAAATATTTATTTGTAAATAATTCATCTTTGCCAATTTAATATTGTTAAAGTAAAATTAAGAATAATTGATCTTAATATATTTGGACACTATTAAATTGATAAATTGAAAATAGCAAACCTACAATTATCGATTCTACATATTGACTCTCCATCCCAATTGACGTAAAATGCAATGTGGTCGGCATGGAGACTCCTGTTGAGATGGGAGACAGTAGTATTTTCCAATTGAAAAAGATGAACTCCTCACAATAATACCAAAATGAGAATCCAATAAATTTCAAAACCCTTGGAAATTTCTTCAATCAAAATGAAAGACTACTTCCAAAGCAATAAGAGAATTAGAGATTAGACTAAAATATGTTATATTAAAAATGTTGTATATTATAAGCTTATGTCTCTATATTTGAATTTTAAACAAGGTTGGTTTAGCTCCGTTTGTTACATTTTGGGAACACTATTATTAGTATTCCCAATAAAATTAAACAGTAAAATTAACTTATTCTCAAAATATTATTTAATTTCTTTTAATCCCTTAAATTTGTTAATTTAACTAAATACCTCTAAATATTTTTTTTTAAATTACAAAAACACCTTAACGTATTTAATTGGTGAATTAAGAATGTTTTTGTTAACTTGTAATATTTTATTTTGAAATATTTAATAAATAAACAAACATAAGAAATATTTTTATTAATTTTCAAATCCTATATCGTAATACCCATCCAATTTAACTTTTTCAAAATATTAAAAATGTTGTATATTATAAGCTTATGTCTCTATATTTGAATTTTAAACGAGGTTGGTTTGATATATTAATATTATATTATAAAGTGGCTAAATATAATTATAAGCATTAAATTAATATTATTATCATTTGTATCGTTTAATCACTGTTGGCATTTTTTAGTAATACTATATGTATCTATAAAATTTATACTGTATCTCTTTTTTTCTTTTTTTACCAAAGTCGATTTCACTAATTTAGGTTTTGTCACACGGATGGATGATATATAACGCTGTTATTACTCATTTTCAATTATTTTATTTAAATGATATTGTACCTATAATTCTATACTTATATGTAACAAAATTATCATGAAATATACTTTAATAATTATAAATTAGATAAGAAAAACAAATCAAGAATGCTATATGTATAATTTTTCTATAGCCTCTTTGTATACAGCCTATAATAACCACATTTGATCAAAAACAAAATTAATTCTGATCACTACAATGATAATTTTTCTTAATTTAAGACGTCAAAACTATTTCTAGTTTTCTACCATGGACTTGGCCACACCAGATTATGAATGACCAATAGCCGCGCGCGTGCCTGGCCACATAACGGGACCCACTTTTATAAACACAAAGTCAAGTCCAGCTCCACGTCACTTCCGTCGGCTCCATCAGCCTTAACTAGCTTAGCCTCCACCGTCTCAACTGACACGCTGTCACCTTCTCTGTTATCACTACCGTTACTAGGATGCTGACTCATCTCCGATTCATGACTCTTTGAGTCATCAAACTCACCCAAAAAGCCCTCTGGTAACTTTTTCGGATTCGGCTTAGGACCCGACCGCTTACACCGGCTCCGAGACTTAACTTTATGAAGCTTATCGGAGGAGTTCTTATAATCCTTGGAGACGTGGCGAATATCACAAGCTTGAAAAGCCGACTCAGAGTCGGAAGAAATAGAAGTGATCGGCTCGCCCTTAAGAACGGCTTCAACAGCGGCTTGACAGAGCTGCCAGCTCCCGGAACAGATCAAACCGAGGGATCCATGAATCGGGTTTACAATTCGCCCGCACGCCTCGAATAACAAAGATTTAAAAATTGCTGTAACAAACACAATTAACAGTTAAAATCAATACACACCAAAAATAAAATAAAATAAAATAAACGGACTCTTTCAAAGAAGGGAAATGAGTTAATACCAGGACGGAGATGCGGAGGACCGGCGTCGATGAGGTTGACAAGGCCGGCGCGGCCGTAGAATTTGGCGAGAAAGAGGGTGGCATTGGCTTGGGACTGGGGGTTTCGGATCCATTGGAGGCAAGGTCGGATGGTGCAGTCGTCGGAGCAGCCTTTGCGGAGGACGCGGCAGCCATTACAGCTGATACGCATGGTTAGTATGTGGTCTGATGTTGTTTGGGAAGGGGGGAAATGGTGGGAAAATTGGAGAGAAAATGAAGGGAAGTGTAAGGAGAAATATGATGAGAGAAAATGATGGGGAAATGGGTTAATTTATTGAAGTGGTGAAGTGAGATGGTGGGGATTGGGATTTGGGGCAAGTGGGGCGCAGTGGTTTCCAAGAAAACTGGGTGTGTAGTGTGGTGGGTGGGGCAATCTGGTTTTATTCATTTGTCATTGTACTTTACCATGCTCTTTTAAGTTCTGTGAAATTCCACTGGTAACCTTCAAACAAAAACTCAAGGTTGTAAGGGATAAACAACATATTCCCACCCGAAGTTTGGCAAAATCACAAGTGGGTACCCCTGATTCCATTTATTCAAGATTCCCACCCTTAAAGTGAAATTGTTAACAATTTTTAGGTTAAAGAAGGTGTTGTTACCATAATACTCTTAAAAAATAAATTAATAAATTACTTATTAAAATCTAAATTAGTAGAATTATAATTAACTATTTTATTTTTAAATTACTTCAATAACACCCTTAGCAATTGTGCACCCTATCGGTTTTTGCCTGATTTGTGTTGTTTTTGATAGTATTGAACCCCCTGGTCACCTCCACCATCTTCCCCATAGCTGTCGTCCAAAACCCCTCTGGTTCTTGACTCATTGGCCCCTTCGATGGCTGGTTTCGTTAGGTTTAGGGTTTCGTTGTTTTTCACTAGATTTCGATGGAAACAATCCAATTGGACACCACCACTATAATCAACATCTCCAACTCTACAAAACTCTTATGTCCCTAACAATCGTTTAGTTGCCATTCGTCGACTGGGAGGTTCATGTTCATCGTGTTTTTTGGAGTTGTCGTGGCCGAAAAGTGGTGAGTTGCTGTAGTTGGGAAGGTTAGTGGTTTTCTAAGGGGGATACAAAGAGTCAAATGGTGGTGGTGGTGGTTGCGGTTGTCGTTGCTCAAAACAGCCAAAAACTAGCAAAAAAAGTCACACAATACGATTGCCGTGGTTGGCGATTGACGAGTGATAAGAGGTTGTGAACAGTAAGGTTTTGTAGAGGGAGTTTGAGGGTTTAGATGGTGGTGACAAGGGTGATTTTGGTTAAAAGAATCGTCGAAAATGGCAAAAAAGGTCTAGGCCAACATCTGCTAACATGCACCAGACGACCAGAGCACTATTAGAGGCAACGATCTGCTAACGTGAGTCATCTCCTGTAAAATGACCAATTTACCCCTTTGCTGTTATATTAAATAATTTTTCATCACTTTAAGAGTGAGAATTTGGAATAAATATAATTAAAGGTACCAATTTGGCATTTCATCAAACCTTGGGTGGGAGTCTTCGTCTACTCTTTTTTAAATACAAAGGATATTGATTTATTGTGTCATAAAGCCCTTAAGAGCATGTATTAGAAAGGATTTTTTCTCAAAGTTTATGAAAATATTAATAGATTGTATCAAAATAGTCTTCAAAAGTCATATAAAAATCATTTATTACTTCCCTAAAATAAAAAAAAAAATGCAAAAATTCAAGTAGAAAAACAGTTTACAAATTACTTTTAATTTTAATTTTTATGTTAAGAACCCATATGTTAATTCTTAGAGCATCTTTAATGATGTTCTTTATTTTAAAGAGCATATTTCGTATAAATAAAGAGTATTTTTATTGATTTTTAAATATAAAGAACAAATTTTTTATTCAAATCTAATAGATTCTTTAAATTTTATAAGAGATAATATGTTTTTTCAAGAAAAAAAAAACTTAATATGAGAGATAAATCATAAATAAAATGCATAAAAACTTACAATTTATTATTTAAAATTATGATAGAGAATGAAATTTGACTCTCTAAATATGAAGAGTCAAACTTACTCTTTAATTTATATTTAAAGAATAAAGTGTTTCTTAAACTCTTATTTTTATGGATAAACTCTTTATAATAAAGAGTTTGAGTTATTTGGAGATGCTCTTAGAGAACATATATTTACATTAATAAATAAATTATAACATAATATTAAATCCACATCATTTTAGAAATTTAAATATGTAATTATACATAAATTGATATTTAGTATTTATACATTGGGATAACTTTAATAGTCATATTTTTTATTTAACTTTTAACGTTATGTTTGAGTTATTTGATTAATTTAAATCTAATATATTCCCAAAATGTATTAATTATGTAAATGGATTTGGATAATGTCTATTTAAAATACTTCGTCGAATTACCATAGCGTGGGCAAAATGGTAATTAATATTCGATTATAAGGTATCATTAAAAGAACAAGAGATGCAAGTTGGTACAAAAGGCAATAAACAGCTAGCCAGCAACACGTGTTGTGACTTTTTGGTCAGACGAGTCGCCACATCGTACGCACAACCCCATTTTCATTCCCACACGCACTTCCCAACTACGCTTCAGATTATCGCAAATTGACGGCCAGTAATCCCTATGCGTCCACATGGGACCCAAGAAAGAGATACAATTCTTCCGTGAACCAAAGGCGCGTGGATAAAAGAGGACGTGTTTAAATTTGGCTTGTGAGAAACTTCTACCATGTCCATGTTACGAACCAGCCACTGGGTTCCCTCCTGGTATTGTGGAATGTGGAATCCGTACACCGGTTTTGAGAAGAGGACTGTGGGCGCCCTTTGATCTCTTCCCCGTCAGCCTCTGGTTTTGGATTCCCTTTCGTTTTTCAACCTTCTTCTCACTTCAATGCTTATCCCGATTTGTCTGGAATAAAAAAAATATCTTACTTTGACTTTTTTCATTTTTTATTACGGTGCCGGTGCTCTATTCTCAATTGAAATTTGTATGTGGACTAATTGGTGCTGGTTTTGCTACTAGGACAGCACATCGTTTAGCACGAAAAAATATTATTAGAATCAAAATTCAACAAAAATATATAAATTTCACTATACAATAGTGTTGATATGTGTTTTTGACATCAACAGTATCAGCACATACAAACTATTACGAATCTACGCATGAGGTGATTATGTGAATATTTGTGATACAATGGTGATATACGTTTAAAAAGACATAAATAAAAAAAAAAAATAAGAGAGATTTATATAGTGGTTTGAATGTTGTAAGTCTGTCTTACATCTATTGCCATTTTATTATTTTTTGATTGTTTTTCTGATATCGCCTGTAAGCGTACAAATATGAAGTAATATTTTGTTTACAGAGAAAAATAATGGCTTAAACTCAAATGTATGCCTAGCCTCTCTCTCTGCATTCATTCTCCTTCTCTTTTATAGGATGTTATTTAGCCGACTTCAAGGTGATAATTACTTGACAGGCTGCTCTTAATTTTAACTTTGATAGCTAAGTTAAGATGGATATTAATTATCAAGATGAGTTGATGACAACTTGTATTTTTCTAGCTCTTGCTATTATTGGATCCTAATCGGTGACCGATGTCTTTTTATGATTGGTGACTGATTTTGGCACAACAACTATAAACTACGTTAATCTTATAAAACATAAGACATATAAAATAAATAATATATATACACATATAATTATATGGCTAGATATATCATTTATTCGCTCACTTCTCCCCTGGTGGGACTCAAAACCAGGTGGCTTTGATGCTATTCCACTAAAAATTAGTTAATAGTCAAGATGCAACCGTATCTATATATTGCATTATGGACTAAATTCGATAATTGCAAAAGGAAATTAAAACTAGCCACCTCTGGGTGATCGAGTGGAGTAATAGAGATTCTTTGGGCTTCGTTTGGTTCAAAATTTAGGGGTTTTGGGAAAAGTTTTTTGAATAATATAAAAAGTAGTATTCCTAAAAATGAGAATTTTTGGGTATTTTACTGTTTAATTTTTTTAGAAATACTAAAAGTAGTATTCCCAATTTTGAACCAAATGAAGCCTTGGTGTATTACTCTAAGAAATTTTAAGTTTAATTCCTCTGAGTTACTAATAGAGGTGACTACTTGAGGGTTTACTCGATTGTTAACTTCAGGGTCTCGAAGAATTAGTCGAGGTATGCGCAAGCTAGCACGAACACCCCCGGTTGCCCAACAAAAAAAACTGAAACACTTTTTTCTTTTTTTTTTTCTTCCAAATGCTTTTTGAACAGAAAACAACATACTGTTTAATTATCGTACGGAAACAACCTTGATGAGAAAAACGTTCCAACAAAAACAAGACCAATTCAAATGAATGTTAAATTAGAAGAACATTGTATAAATGCAAAAAAAATTAAAAAAAATCTTCTTAAAAAAACTTACACACACACACACGTATACATTTATTATTTATTAATCAAAGCAATAAAAGTCCAAAAAATATCCAGCACATAATGCGATTATTCTAACACATTGCTGGGCCTGGTCCTGGGCCAGATAGAGATTTAGAAATGAAGACCACTTTCCACGATTCACCGACCACACAAGGTCACGGTTAAAGTAAACAGAAGAATTGAAGGACCGTCATGGTCGGGGTATGGAAACGTGTCAAACACCCAATTGATTGAACTCCCACATTCAAGGTCTCTCTCCCTCTTTCTGAGTAGTTAGCAAGACCAACGGCAGCAGCAACGTGCAATAGCTGTAAGTCTCCCTCCCTTGGACTTTCTTTATACCAGTTTTTTGGATCTCATTTCAATGTTTTTTTAATTCACATTCATATCCATTTCCTCAACCAATCTGCATTTCACCATTTTTAATTGTAGAAATCATTTTCTGGGTATGATTTTTCTTTGAAATTCCGTTGGTTTAAATGTATTTTTATTGTTTAAAATTTTGCAGGTTTCAATGTGTTAAACGTAATTTTAAGTCTTCTGTTTGCTGACTTTTGTGTTTATGCATATTTCTGCTTTGGGAAATTCTGTTATTAATGTGCTATATGATTTGCATTTCAGGTTCTGTTCATGGTTGGTCCCCGAGTTGTATCGAAACCATTATGATAACTTCTGCTATCTGCATGCAAGGTGTGAAGATTTTTTTTGTTATTCAATGTGACCAATTACATTTACACATATTCATGCAGAAATTGTTATGTTTATCTGGTTTTTTGAGTATGCATTTCTCTTCGTCTTGATTCGAATTAGATAAAAATTGTTTGAATTAAACACATTGAAAAGGAGGCTCTCTGGAAGCATAATTGTGAAGTTAACACAATAGTTGAAACAAAAATTCTAGACAAGGGTTGGTAATTGGCAGGAATAATTTCAAATGGAGCATGTTCTGCTGTTTTTCAAGTTGGGATGCCGGTTCGACTAAAGTTTGTTAACGGGGTAGGAAATAAATTGTTGTTTTACCTTTTATCAATACGGACAAGCTTAATTGTAACATCGAGAGCTTTTCTTTCATTTTGCACTATGTTTATTCATTTACTCGGAGACTTGTGTTTTCTGGAGCTGAATGCTGGTAATTTTTTAGCCAAACTGTTTAATTCTAAACAATAAAAGATAGAAATTGAGTAAAGTTTGGGTTACTGACCTCGAAAAACACTTTCCTAAGACGAAAAGTGGCATGCTTGAACTTTATTTTGTAGAAGCAGTGGTCTTTTGTAACTAAGTAATTAAACTGTCAATGGCTTTATACACTCTTGCTTGTTAGTTGTTACTATTCAAGTCTTGAGTTGGCAATTAATTTTAGCAGTATATGTATCAATGCGGTTTTATTATAGTCATTTCACATTTATCCAGAATCCTGCGATGTCCTTCTTTAATGATTTATTCCGGTTCTACTCAGTTCATGAGAATAGAAGTCATCTTGTGATAATGCTAATACTCATATTCAGGCAATTTTAGAACTAGTTACTTAATATGGACTATTTTATTTGCAAGGTTTTTATAATTGAGTTTCAAGTCTTGATGCCCATCTCTTGTGGATCATAATGAGTTCGGTATCCGCTCTCAGCACAAGAGAAAACAGAGAGCACAATGGATCCAGTTTAGCCGATAACGGGGAGGTTTCTGATACAAAAGCGAACGCTAGTCCTGAGGCTGAAGGTAAGGATGATTTTATTGCTGCTTGGTTTGAGCACTCATAACACTGCGTTTTTCTTTTTTCCCTTTGTAGCCAACCAACGTGCACTATTGGTGGAGTGGTTAAATAGTATTCTTCCACATTTAAATTTGCCAATAAAAGCTTCAGATGAAGAGCTGAAAGCATGTTTGATTGATGGCACTCTTCTATCTCAAATTTTGAAGAGGCTTAGACTAGTTTCATATAAGGAGGTTGTTGAAATCTAGTATCTTTCTGTTGCCAAATTATACTCTAAGTTGGTGATTAGATGGTTACTTTGTTGATTAAATGTTCGGTATTCTATTCTAGGTAGGCGATTTCAATCATTCTTCAGTTTCAAGCTTAGAAAATGTTAGAAGATTTCTGGAAACTCTGGATAAATTAGGAATTTCTGGATTTGCAATGTCAGACCTAGAGAAGGTATTGTTTCTTCATTTGAAAATTTTAATATCATCACCTAATAATATGCTGACATAAAAATGTTATTCTTGAAATTTTGAACATATCCTGAACCATATGATTGGATAAATTTGACTGGACATGAACAATCAGGCTTGTAAATCTGCTTGTCCTTGCATCCAATTATTCATATGCTTTTCTATGTATATGTTTCTGTGTATATATATTCCTCTATCGAACTATTTTATTTGTGGGCTTGTGTTGGTTTCTGCACTGTGGAGATTTTCAATTTATTCTTTTTCTCTACTTCCTAAAGTTCATCTAAATCTTGCAGGGTTGTATGAAGCCTGTTATAGGCTGTCTTTCAAAACTTAGAGCAGAATTTTCCCCTACCAAAGAGAATTTTTCGGTCAATAGTACAATAACAGAATCTGGAAACAGTGAAAAGGATGCATCTTCTGGCGGCCCTCTTTCTCCAGTCTTTGGAGAAGAAAGGTGAAAAGTTTTGTCAGAGTCCCAATTTCAAGGTGCTTCACGCAGTTCAGCAATATCAGGTAATGCAATTTCTTTGTGGATTGTTTGTGCACATGCATGCCTGTGGTGTCTGCATGTTTGAATCTGGATGTGGTTTATTATCTACAATGTATTGATTTTATAAAATGACGTACGACTAATTGGATCTGATCGATTATGCATCAATCTGACCTTTTTCGATTAGATTATTATGGATCTCGTCGAAAACAGCTAGATCTACAGTAAAAAATCTGGTCGATGACAATATTGTCGACAATAGTTAAATGGGTGGAGGTGTTTTTATTATTTTATAAACTTTTATTAAAAAAAAAATTTGTTAAATATTTAGAGTTGAATATAATAATATTGAATTTTGAATTGAACCTGAATATTAAAATAAATATGTATTTTATTAAATTGGATAGGATGATAGGATAATATTTTAAAAGTTAAACAAACGCCGCTTAATCTTTCTTTTGTGGACTCCACATCATGTTCCTTGGCAACTTTAGAAAGCATGGGGCACGAAGGCCTGAGGTAAAAAGCAGGCCCATAACGTAAAAAGCATGGGGCACGAAGGTCTGAGGTTATATAACGAGTTGATCTTTAAGAACATCCAATACGATGTTTAAATGAAAGGGAAAAAAAAAATAAAAACCACCATTCATGTGTCATTTCATTTGAGTATCGTTAGGGGAAAAAAACATCCATCTTCAGCCATGTGTTGTTCATTTTACAGAAACTGTTGGCAGGCAGATGGTAGAGAAAGTAAAGAGCAAAATAAAGAAGTATTCTGTTGAGATTTGGGCAGTTGATATTAATTAATCAAAACGTTTTAAATGTTAGCAAACTTTTGTTGACATAATTTCTTTGTTGTGAACGGAATTCTGGATGAAAGCATTGAAAGTAACAAGTAGTTTAAAATTAAATTAAAACAACATAATCAAAATGAAACCAACGTCCTATATTTCTATTACATTTTTATTTAATTCAAGTCAAGGCTGACTTTGAGCGATAGATACATGGTGGCGATAAGACATTTATGCAGTTCAAAATGAAACCACTGAGTTTTTTTGGTGGTGGGGGGGGGGAGGGGTTGGGAGAGTATCACCATTGCATGGATTATTGCAGCAAGCACATAGCCCACTTTTCCAAGGTTCACGATCGTCAGGCTGATCTGTTGGCTTAGAATCTGGAGGCTGCAGAAACTCTTCCTCTGGTGATTTTGATTTATCATCTTCTTTTTCTGTTTGAACAGAGGGTTCAGAAACTGCACCCAAATCTTCCATTAATGTCAGCTCTTATTTCACCGACTCTTCACTTGTAGGGAGAGTAGTGAGGTAGCTCAGTATTATATAAGGACAGCTAGCAGTGTTTATACCGAGGTTTTAAAACCTGACCCGGGGCCAACCTGGCCAAGCCACTGGGTCACGAGTTTCAGGTCGAATCGTGACGTTATTATGCTGATGTCAGTATGCTGACATTACTGACATCAGCATAATGTCAGTAAAAAACAAAAAAATTAAAAAAAAAATGCAGATTTTAATCTTTAACTGTGATAATAAAAATTTTCCTATAACAAATATACTCAAATCTAAAATGAAATTAAAACTACAAGTCTACAACATACCAAGTTATAAAGTAACAAGTAGTTTAAAAATAAATTAAAACAACATAATCAAAATGAAACCAACATCTTACATTTCTATTACGTTTGCATTTAATTCAAGGCTAACTTTGGGCACCAAATTCAGAAGCAAAATTACTTATATCGACATCAACATCATCTTCGTCGTTGTCCTCGTCATTATCATCATCAGCATAACCAGTATCTACAAAAAATTGCAAGCAAAAATAAAGTTATTAGTTAAATGTTTTGATTGTAAACTAAATTGAGTACTGTAATATAAAATTTAACAAACTAAATTGAATAATGTAAGTTAAATTAAATAATATAAATGAAAGTTATTAGTTATTAGTTAGAACCTACAAAAAATTGCACCCATTTTTGCACACTGCAGTATGCAAAATATCACGCTCCAGTGTGCATTTTCACACCCATTTTTGCACACTGGGACCCAGGAAAGAGATATAATTGTTCTGTGAAGTAAAAAAGCGCATGGATAAAAGAGGACGTGTTTAAATTTGGCTTGTGAGAAACATCGATCACGTCCATGTTACGAACCAGCTACTGGGTTGCCTCATGGTATTGTGGAATGTGGAATGTGGAATCTGTACACCGGTTTTTAGAAGAGGACTATGGGCACCCTTTGATCTCATCCTCGTTAGCCTCTGGTTTTGGATTCCCTTTTGTTTTTGTGGATTGTTTGTGCACATGCATGCCCGTGGTTGTGTCTGCATGTTTGAATATGGATGTGGTTTATTATCTACAATGTATTGATTTTATAATGTTATGCCTGAAAAGTTAGGGCTGACGTGGACTCTCGTCAGCAAGAGCCAATCAGGGTTCAGGAAGGTTTTGTGCCGTGCAGACGTTACCACGTCGCGCAGTGACGCAAGGGTTATGGTTCCTGTCAGTGTAGTAAGTGAGTGCTAGGCTTGCGAGTGGTTATGAATTATCCACCTGTCCTAGCCCTACGCAATTTGAGGATATTTCTTGTGCAGATAACCAATGGGATGCAAAGAATGATTTGCACGGCACCTACCCACTTGCAGACTTGTAATCATTACCTTGAACTCTCCCACTATAAATAGAGGACATCCCTCTCATCTACGAGATTAACTAATCTTAGTCTAAAATAGCTTACACATTCTCTCTCTCTCTCTCTCTCTCTCTCTCTCTCTCTCTCTCTCTCTCTCTCTCTTTTTGTATTCTCTCTAGATTATAACTCAGCTCACTGCACGCGACTTGATTTTACCTATCTATTAATACAATAATAGTGGACGTAGGATTTGCTTTTGAGCATCCGAACCACTTTAAATATTGCTTCTCATTCATTGTTTTATTTCACGTTTCCTTATCACATGTCATTTTTAAGTCAGTTTAACATTTTGCACATGCGAGTCGTTGGTGTCAAACTCAAGCATCAACAGTTTGACGCTAGAAGGAGGGTCTGATTTAGTATCTGCTCTTCATCAGAAATCTCTGATTAATCGGTCCTACCAATCAGCAAATGGCTCGCGGTTTCGAATCTGAGAGAACTAACTATGACAATGAGGAAATCCCCTAGGTACAAGAAGACACTTCTCCCGAATTGCCGTTAGTCCAACAGAGTATCATGGCGGATATTCCTTCAAGCTCGCGACTCGACCCAACCGTCATGAGTTATCTGGAGAGGTTCAATAATACTCTCCAAACGGTTAGCCAAAGGCTAGACCGATTGGATTGTGTCGTGCCACTAGAATCTAATTAGGTGGTGCCACCGCCAAAAACACTTGCAGGTTGCGTGAAAGCGCGAAAAAGGGCAAAAGCCCATACAACGTGTTTTGCAACGGGTCAAAGAAAGGGAAAACAAGTGGCGAACAGCGGACCAGAGGGCACCAAGGGACCAGCGAACACTGGTCGTACACTGGGTAGAATACTTGTGGCACTGCGACTCGGCAACATGTTACAGCATGAGCTATCCCACGCCACGTCGCATGAGCACTCCCATAAAAGTGCAAGGCAGGGAGATTCTCAATATCGCCGAAATGATGACCTTTACTGTTGTCGTGCGAGAGATCCTTGTCATCCGTGGGTCGGTGTGGACCATCACGAAGATCGGGAAAATTTCCTAAATCACTCAATGCCATCACACAGCTCCAGCCAGCGTGTGTCAAGGTTTGTCGGAGCTTTCGGCTGAGTCGAGGAAGAGCCCGATTTGCCGTCTTTCCTCAACCGCAATCGTGAGGGTCAAACCCACGTTGCAGAAAGTGATCCCCAAGCAGCTCCGCTGCCTCAGATTGAGGAACTACAACGAGCATTGGATCAGCTTAAGGCATAGCAAAATGACCGTGGGAAGTGTTGGACCAGTAGTCACAGTCACAAAATTAAATCTAAATACCGTAGTTAGCGGCAAGCAGGGTTGAATCCACATGGAGCAAGACTAACAACCTAATGTATTTTAAGTAGCGAAAATGAAATTGGCAATTGATTAATGAAACTAAATAGACTAAATGCAAATAATGAAATAGTGAAATTAAAACTAATAAAGACTTTATAATAAAAATATTGCCGTAACGGTTTTGGTTCGACACGAGACCGACTCACACAATTCTTCTCCACCCTCTACGATCCCCTAAACCTACAAGGCAAGGTAGATCAATGAAATGGCTTCCCGACACTTTAGGTATAATCTATCATGTCTCACCCGATCACTCAAGTTCGATTGGTTAAAGACTATCATTGAACGCCGATAAACGCTACAAAGCAATACCACTAGTTGGTACGCGATTAACAAATACAATTTGTCAACACGTAATATCCAATCAACCAACTTCACAATAAACGTAACAATAGTAGAAATTAAATTAAATCCGAACACAACTCAATTACAATCGATGCGAAGTAATGAAAAGCAATATTTATCATTTAATTATTTCAAACCAACGTTTATCATTCAGCAAGTTCTATGAAAACATTAAATCATAATGGACAACAATATTCATCACAAGTTATGCTCAAATCATATTAAAGTATCGAAATCAATCATGAAACGAAAACAAATATAATCCGAAGCACAATACTACCAAATGTCCTATAATCGGGCTCATCCAACTAGTCGAGAGCTGATGAGGAGTGTCGTGGAGTCTATCTCGATCTCGCCTATGCCGTAACAGACAACCGAGAACTTAGCCGCTCATGGTGGTGATGACGGAGGCCGAAACGGTGAAAATGAAGTTGACCATGGCGAAGAGGAGGTAACCGACAGCGATATGATGCGAAAAAGGGGTGAAAATGACCAACGGACAACCCGAAATACGAACAGCTGCACTCACCGAAAAACGTTAATTTTTTGATAGGTCTTCCGAAAAACGGTGGCGAAAATGGGATCTGAAGGTACCACTGGAAAACTTTGGTGATACGGAGTTCAGATTAGGTCCTGGGGAGGTGAGAAGTCGTTGGAAA